TAGAAAGTGTGTTTAAACTCAGTGAAATATATTCCCTAACCATATGAAGTTTACAATCTAAATAATGAGGGCAGGCACAATCTTTTTATCTAACCAAACTTACCAGACACTTTGTTATCAGTTCCCTCTGACATCTTTGCACCACGAACATTTTTTGAAGGAATTGCAGTGCAGGTGGGTTTTCTATAAATGTCACAGGATGTTGGACCTAAATGCATGTAAGGATCCGTGTCAGAGAAGCAAAGAGCCAATGTTTTGCAGGATTCATAAAATTCAAGGTTTTTTTTTTTCAGGCAGTGTAGTTGCAGCTGTGTCTGTAGCTACAGGATAGATAAGAGCAGGAGAGAACATTAAAATCAGTGAAAATTGCACTTCATTTGTATCCGTGTTGTGGAGTATAGCTGCAGAGGTTTTGACTTATTTCCCTCAGTCTGGCTTATGAAATGTGTGAGATCCAACCTTAGCCTGCTACTACCAAGAGGGCTTCACAGGACATTCGGAGGGACTGACGTGACATCTAATGGAGCTTACATGTGCCTGAGCCAAATGACCCTACCATGTGCTGCAGAAAGGAAGTCTAGAGCTGCTCGTGGCCTCCCAGGCGAATGATTGCAGTTCCTCTGTACCCGGCAGCACGGAGAGGACAGGATGAGAGCAGGTTGGAGCTCAGTCTGTGTCCAAAACCAGGACAGTGGCACAGCATTTTGTGCTGGGGAGCTGGGCTGAACATATACTTGGAAAGAAAATCTAAGACTTGTGTAGGTGAGACTGACATGAGTCTGTCTCTCTCCAATTTGTAGGAGGGAGAGGAGGTTCTTTTAGTATATGTACATGGTGAGACCAAAACACAAGAGGTAAAATGTTAGCCCAACCAGTTTATTTTCCCTTGTTGCTCAGGGCTATGGGGAAGGGAAGACAGGCGATAGAAAAGCGATGGGAAATAAAAGCAAAGGGTCTTTGTAAAAAGTGGAAGGGAAACAACTATGCTATATGCTTCACTCATAAAAGAGAAGCAGGGAGGGAGTTGTGCATTGCATTGCCATTATTTTGTGTCTTGCAGTTAATGCTGTTTAACACATCTGAAACATTCAAACCCGATGATTGTCTTCACTTTGTGTTCATGGTGAGGGCCAAGAAAGCATATATACATATATATATATACATCATACAGTTTGAGTATGCAACTTTGAAGGTAGGACCAAATCAGCTGTACTGTGGTTATGCTATGGAGCTCTCATTTTCGTGACACGATGCAGCTTTTTCTGCTGTAGTGTCAGGTATAACTGAATTCTCAGGGCATAATCAGCATAAAGAGAATTGCAATTGCAGGGTGCTAAAGTGGAAGTGTATGTTGTCCAAGGGTTACTGTGCTGAGCTAAGAGTCTCAGTTTCGGAACTTAATTTCCTGTTTTGAAACCTCCTTTGGCATGTCTCAGCTGGGACCTGTTATTCTGAGGGCTGCCAAACACCACTGGTTCTTGCAGGTTCTGGGCATTTCTGTGACCACAACCTCGGTTGTGTGAAGGTAAATTTTCCAGAATGGCTGCTTTAAGTGAATGGTCCTTAAAAATTCAAGGCTTATCACGTCTCATTCTCTTCAGCATTTTCAGCATCTCCAGTAATATCTTCTCTGCAGGAATTATCTGAGGCTAATTGCTATCAAACTCATAGATTCTAGGAGGTGTCAATGAGAAAAGTATGCTATTGCTATTGCTACTGCTGGGATCTTTTTTGCAAAATAAAGTAATGCCATGTCTCATTCAAAACAAAATCAAAACAACAGCAGTTTGGATATTCAGATAAAGAAATTTAAAAACAATTATAGTATAACAAGAGCAGTGGAGAGGGTGAAATCAAGGTAAATGTTAATCAAATGCCTGCTAGTAGTAAGGCACAGCCAGTGTTTAAAGTTTTAGCCTAGGTTTACCTCTCTCCGTGCCATTCTTTCATGTGATCTTATGCAAATAATTTGTGATTTGTAACACACCTCACAGGTGTGTTGTGGGTGTAAGTATAATAAGATTATGAAGTTCTCAGAATACGTGATAAGAGTCACCTTGAGTGGACATTGTTATACGTGCGGGTTCGGTAGCACAGTCGCCTTCTACCTCACAAAGTGTTTGCTTTCAGTTGAAACTACTTTTCACCTATTCTTACAAGAGGTCAGACTTTATCAGAGTTGAGATGTACAGATCTGTGGAGTTTGTTTGTTTGTTCACTTTATATCGAAGCGGACTAAAAAAGTTTTTTCCATAATAATACTGTCTTCCATACTAATTTTATGCAGTTCTATTAGGGAATTTTATGCAGTTCTATCAGGGAATTAAAATTACAAAATGTTTTGTTAAGAGCCGTTTATATTTCTCAGTATTATTTTTAATCACATTCTGACTTCATACTTCATCATTGAACATCAACTTCTTAAACTAGAGACAAGTAGCATCTTCAGGAATAGGGCATTTTGGAGCCCAGCTTCATGGCTATGCATTTCTATTTCTAGGTTTTCAATTTCTAGGTTGTTTCTGAAAGATTTTTGAAGATGTCCTTTGTAACTAGCCTGCTGTCCATCACCGCCCTCAGCCCCCCTCCAGTTCACAAAGTCACAGAAAAAGTAATCGGGAGAGATGGGGAGTTCATGCAGATTGATCTGGTGTCCTCTGCCACCCCTGCCATCCATGCTGGACGTTACCTGCTGCTGCATTTGCTGTTACTAAAGGGAGCTGCTGACCTGTGGTGCTGGCACTGAGAAGATGACAGAAATAAGAGTCCTTGCTCAGCAGCAACCTCATACCAAGGGTGTGGCTGCCAAATCTGCACGAGGCATGGCACAGAGAATGCTTTGCTGTGACACTTGAGAAGAATAGTTCATAGGATATCAATAAATCAGCAGACGTGGTGAATCAGTTCTCAGCCCTCATTTCTATGTAATCTTTCTTTGGATTTCACTGTGACTATCTGAAATATTTTGCTTACCTGTGCAAAGCATTTCTAATATATATTAATTTTATAGTGCTAATTGCACATCAACCCTAGTATGTTCATAAACATCAACTTTAACAGGAAGGTTTTTTTCCTTTTTAAGCCAATCAGATTTGCACAGATTTATTGCCCTGTAAATTCTGTCAGAGCTATCAGATAGTTCACAGATTTACAGTATGAGAGCTGAACTTGCTGCTATGCTGTACAGATAACAGCAAAGAACGTGGAAAGCTCCGAGGCACTAGCTGAGCTACTTTGTAAATATCATAGTATAAAACTGTTACTAATAAAAGTCAATCTTTTGCTAGAATGCCAATAAAGAGTGGGGAAGGAGCACAAACCAACTACAATAACAACAACAAACTCTTACATGGAGCCTTGCAAATTAGTTGGGACTAACTTTGTAAGTGAAATGCCTTCACTTAGATGCTTTCACCAAGGGAAAGCTTGCAAGAACTCACTGCTCAATTGCAATTGAATGCCAGTCACAGCCAGAACATGTCGGAAAGGTCTCTCCATATGTAAGTGTCTCAAATAAAACATGGGCTCTCCCTGAGGTGTGCCACATCGAGCATTAAGAAACAAGAGCAGCCACTCCTGGGCAGAAAAAAAAAAAAAAAATCCACGTTATTTGTAATGACACACGAGTGTACTCACTGCTCCATTGCTAATGACACACGGGTGTACTCACTGC